AAAAGCAAGTTCTTCCTGCCTCTTGGAGGCTGGTCATGTGCTCTTACTGCACATGAGCAGAGTCTTCAACTGAAGAGTCACACACAGAAACAATAGTCAGAAGTTAAAGAGTGAGTCACGGAAAAGTTGGCTTCTAGCTGTTGTTTGGCAGTGTGTGTTTGTGTGTTTTGGGAGTGTAGCTTTAACAAGAAGGCAGGTGGGAGCAGGTGGTAAAATTCGGTTGCATATTTTCGCATTTTCAAGTGTAACCTGCTCATGCTAGCTTTTCCAGGATTACCAACCCTAGCTTTGACAGTAATGGGAAAGAAAATTTAACAAAGGGATCTTGAGTTTTGAAAAATACATAAAAAAGGAAAGAAAAGCCAGAAATAATATAAACTATTATACAGTGCAAAAAGACAGTCAAAAAGCTCAGGTTGTGATCAGGGACCTTATGTGACATTTCTCCATTATTTTCTGTCATCTCTCTGCAATCTGTAAAAGAAAAGCCTTAAAATACACAAGAAAGAACTTAGAAGAGTAATGTACATTGTTTGTTGACAGCTTTCTGTCTGATTTTGTGGGACATTGATTCATCAGGTAGATGGTGGGAGTCATAGCAACTGAGTTTTTTCTAAATCCCAGGATGTTTCCTTTTGTCTCTCCACAGCCCCTGTCACGTCCGCCCATCCCCTCCCACCAGGTGCCCCCCTACAGAGCCGTGTCTGCCAGGTTTCGCCCTTCAGCCCTTTCCCAGAGCACCCCCATCGGACTGGATCGTGTTGGACGGCGAAAGCTCCACAGAGTGCTCAGTGGTGAGAGCTGGGGTTGCTTGTTATGTGACACTGGATCACAAACTGTAGTCTGTGGGAAAAGTCTGGAGTCTGGGAATGTTAATACTTGTGATGGAGGAAAATGTTGGTGTGGAGCCAGGTGTGGGTTTGTTTGCATCTGTGCCTTGTTCTGTGGGTTACTAAAACCATTTAGAAAGTTTGCAGCTCAAAGCAGTTCTTTAGCCTCTGTGTACGTGTTGCAGATGGTGTGTCTGAGTGCTCGGCGACCCTTGATGACAGCGTGAGTGAGGAGGAGGGCAGCTTTGATGAGCTCACTGATGTCACGCCCTACCTCCAGCCAGGGGTGGAGATCTCTGTGCTCAACGAGGTAAGGCTGTGGAGGTTTCGCTCGCTTGTCGTGTTGCAATACTCCCAAACATCTCCTCCAAGAATGTGCATTCAATTTATGATGTGACTTTTATCTGCATGCGTGCCTCGTGAAAAATGTTTGTGTTTTCAAGATGTTTGGCCACGGTTCAGTACAACAAACAACCTCTGCAGTGTCCACATGTCTAGACATAATCTTACATGTTAGATGTGGGGCTTAGCCTGCATGTAATTGCATCTTTATCTTATCTCTGTGTGTGTTACTCAGTGGATAAGCTCAGGCCACACGGTGTATGCGGAGGCTCTCTGGGACCATGTGACCATGGAGGAGCAGGAGCTGGCCTTCAAGGTTGGAGATGTTATCCACGTCCTGGAAGCCTCACACAAGGATTGGTGGTGGGGCAGAGGCGCTGACAGGGAGGCCTGGTTCCCCTCCAGCTTTGTGAGAGTAAGTGGACGAGCTGACCCTAGTGTCTGACACATGTTTGATCCTCAGCAGCACAGAAAAGACTGGCAAACTGGCTTGGCCCCAAACCAACCTCTCCAGCCCTCTTAACAGAGTTTGTGAAAGGGGTTCAAACCTTACATGTTCAAATGGTTTCTGTGGTGATCAGAGCTGATTGACAGCTGAGTTGTAATTAGGCAGGCTGCAGCAGCCATGATGAGGTCATTTGATTGGAAGATAAGCTTCTGCTGTGTATTTGCTTGTTGCTGAATCAATGTTGCAGAACAGGAGCCGGTTAAACTTACACGTTTTGTTTCCATAGTGATATGAAGTAGATCTGAATTGTTTGTGGTTATTGTTCCCTTTTGTAAAAAAATAAATAACCACATTTTTTAAATATAGCTAATATGGTTAAAAAAACTAATCATGACTTTGAGATGGCTTTTTTAACTTTTTACTTACTTTTAATTAAATTACTTTTGAATTGTAATTGTTGCTCAGGAGATCTCACTGTGTTTCTGGTGGCTGTGTTTCAGGTGCGAGTTAACCAGGAGGATTCGAGTGCGGAAAGTGTGGAGAGTGTAGCAGACCAGGAGGATCCGGCACCCAGGGACACGCACAGCTCTCAGCACAGGGAGCAGATGAGAACCAATGTGGTTCAGGAAATCATGAATACTGAACGCATCTACATCAAGCACCTGAAAGACATCTGTGAGGTATGAGCCTCAACCTTTAACCCCTCTGTCCTTTTGGCATTATTAACATGTCTGAGACAGGCGTATGTTTACTTTTTGAAATGAGATATTTACAATAAGCTCTATTTGTATTTCACATATTACTTGGTTGAAGTGTCTGATGGCATCTTATGCTAAAATGCTGAATTCTCCCATCTAGCACCTCCTGTTGGCCAATACCTGAACTGTTTTGATATCCTCTGTCAGCAGTTTTTTGTGCATATTTTCAGGGTTACATCCGCCAGTGCCGTAAACACCCAGAAATGTTCACTGAGCTGCAGCTGAAGACCATCTTCAGCAACATAGAAGACATTTACAGATTTCAGCGGCAGTTTCTTAAAGACCTGGAGAAGAACTACAACAAAGACCAACCACATCTCAGTGAAATAGGCTCCTGTTTTCTCTTGCAGGTAATGGCCACAATCAACTGAATCACTGTGTACCTCTGTGTATTAGTAGATTTTAAATTACATTGAATGTTTCTCATTTTTCCGTAGGGGGAGGGTTTTTCTATCTACTCAGAGTACTGTAACACCCACCCAGCGGCCTGTGCTGAGCTGCAGCGCCTCATGAAGTTGGGTCGATATAAACATTTCTTTGAGGCCTGTCGGCTCCTCCAGCAGATGATCGACATCTCCATCGCTGGTTTCTTGCTCACGCCTGTCCAAAAGATTTGCAAATACCCGCTGCAGCTGGGAGAACTGCTCAAGTACACGCCAAAGGACCACAGGTACGCCTCAGGAAATCCATCACTACTTACAGTATGCCTCCTTTACTTCTAGAACTAGTTGTACATGTTTAAGCATCTTTATTTGCACTCTGGAGCTTGAGAGTGTGGAGTTAAGGTGCTGTATTTGCATGCCTGCACCATTAAGTGTAAAATAGTATTTAAGATGCTTGTTGCTCTGGTAAATTCAACTCCCTGCATTATTGTAAGATTTGAGATATTATTACAGCTGTTGTATCATTACTTTTCTAAGCTTGTGTGCCACTGGAAGTGTACATTTATGCTGGGCCCCATGCTCACTGTTCTTGCTGATTTATTGCAGTGACTTCAGTGGAGTGAGCAAAGCTTATGACGCTATGAAGAATGTGGCCAGCTTGATAAATGAGAGAAAAAGACGACTGGAGAGTGTTGACGCCATCGCTCACTGGCAGGTCGCCATTCTGCACTGGGAGGTGATGATGACGTAACCTGTCTGTTTATGATTTATATGTATTCTGTGTGTTTTTCCAACAATATGTACAGAACACTGTAAATCTGTGGTTATAGGGACCTGACGTGCTGGAGCGCAGTTCAGAGCTCATCCACCCCGGGGAGCTGACTCGTATCGTCAGACAAGGCAAAATGCAGCAGCGCAGCTTCTTCCTGTTTGACCACCAGTTGGTCTTCTGCAAAAAAGACGTCCTGCGCAGAGATCTGCTCCACTACCGCGGACGGCTGGATATGGACCAGACCGAGGTGTTGGACATGCCCGATGGGCGGGACCCGGACCTGGGCCTGACCCTACGGAACGCTCTGCGCCTGCGCCACGCCTCCACTCTGGAGTTTGTGTGTGTGCTGTGCTGCAGGAAGGCCCAGGACAAGCAGAGGTGGCTGGAGGCTTTTGCCAAGGAGAGACACAGAGTCAAGGAAGACCAAGAGATGGGTGAGTGCAGACAGATTCCTTTGACTCGTGATACAAAACAGCTACTGTGGATAGATGTCAAATAAAAGGTGAAGTGGGTGAACAGATTGTTGAAAAAGGGGGTGGATGGAAATATTTTGACCTGAAGGTGTATTTCTGTGTGTGTCTTGGCAGGAATGGAAATCAGTGAGGATCAAAGAAAACAGGCCATTGTTAATGCCAGAAGAGCCAAACAGGGAAAGATCAAATGTAAGAAAAAAAAATCTTAATACCCTTTAAGCTGCTCTTTATTTATTTTCAGTTTAATTTAATGCTTGATCTGAAGTTTGACCTTTTTTTTTTGCCTGTTCACCTTTTTTTAGCTATTGGTTACTCTGGTTCTGTCCCACCCCACCACCAAAACCTTCACCCGCTTCACCAGCGTCACGTCACCATTCCAACCAGCGTGCCTCAGCAGCAGGTCTTCTCACTGGCCGAGCCCCCGAAACGAAAGCCTTATCACCTGTTGTACAGCATCACCCGCAATGCCTTTTTCAGGAAATGAGGCTTTGCTCCCTCGTCCTTCGTTTTGTTCCTCTGTGCATAATCACAGCGTGCCCAAACCGTCCTGAAGACTCAAAGAACACTTTATTTTTCCTTGTGTTTCCCGTCTGTGAATGTACTTGTACTCAACTTTGCTCTCTGTGCCTCATATGTCGTGTCTGTTGTTGTTGCACGTTTTAAGGTCAGTGCCTTTTCTGTGTATGGGGCATGACTTAAGTGTTAAAATACTGACTTCTCATTTTGTTGGTGTGTTTAAGATGCTGCTCACTAAAGCTCATGATACCCCACCTCTTTGTCTTATTAATTCCCAGCTGAAGGAGTTTTATTTTATTTTGAGTCTGACAACGATGTATCTTCGGCTTTTACATTGACAGACATGGTTGTAGGTTATTTCACAAAGGCTGGACCCTTTTTTTTTGCTGCGAGCCTGTCAGCTCTGAGCACAAACAGCCGGAGGATAAATTAACTAACACATTCATCAACCCGTTTAACACTGTAAATAAAACTCTTGTACAAACAAAATGGAAATGTTGTCACTTTAAAAGTAGTTGTTTGCTCATGCAACTATAGCTGCTGCTGCTGGTGACTGTCTGCTTCTGAATATTAGTTCATGAGTTAGATCAAACTCAGCGATAAGCGTTAATGAGTGAAACTTTAGCCATAGAAGTGGAGGAGGCGAGCTCCCTGTTTCTCCACTGCAGGATCTGGTTTCACGCACTTGTCAACTGTGCATCCAAACACTGAGCTGTGTGGCTCGTAACGTCGTTTCTGTGTCTGCTGCCGAGTGTTTGGGAGGCAGTTTTTATTCTGATGGAGACGAGAATGGAACCAAGAAACCAAACATCCAGAATTAGATGATAGGAGGCTGGTTGGGATGACTGTGTCATGGGCGCAGAGCGCGAGGAGAACGAGCCGACGAGCGGAGACGATGATGAAGCTCAACAGGACACAGCTAGTGTAAGTAAAATGTACTCCTTACTTTGTATTATTTCCATTTAAGATTGGTATCAAGAATTGTGTAATGCCTGTAAATATTTCTCCAGCTTAAACCCTGAAGATTGAGTGCAAAAGAAGTAAAGTAAAAATACAGTAATCTCTCACATAAAATGTCTGAAGTCACATTTGTTGTCATGCAAATATAAATGTAAAACATGAATGTCTATTTTTTCACTATTCGGAATCTATACCCTGCTAACATGATAGATTAAGAGCCACTTGCACAGTATGGGATGACACTGAATGAATAATACATGTGCATTGGGTAACTCAATGAGTCCTGAAAAACTGATGGAGTTTCTTTCACACATTCCCCTTCAGAAGCTGAAGTGACCTGTAATGAGGCGTCGTCACCTGTAGACACAACATTACATAACTGTCAACAGCTACATGTGCCAGTTTCATACAACTTAACCAACCCTGATGTTTTTCCACTGCCACTTTAGACTCACATCCATTTTGTTGGGACCACAAGAAAAAACAGTTGTGGCTCACATCCATATGCCTTTTGGATCGAGATCAATTAATTCATATCTGAGAACATTTTAAAAGACGTAGTGATTCTTCCATGGGATGAGTACTTCTAGTGTTATCCTGCTATTTAACTAACAAAGAATGCTAATGAAAACACAACCCCCCCTGGCAGAGGTTGACATCTGACCTGGAGAATGTGAAATGATGGCAGCAGCAGGGTCATGGTCTCTGAATTCTGAGTGAAAGAAACACTTGTTTGTTATCCTCATATTATTTCAGCCTCATTGACCACATCCCTATTAGAACCAGGACATATTGGAAGTGACTGTTTCAAAGGGCAAGTCAGATTTACTGCTGCATTAATGGCACTTTGCATTAGAGCATGAATGTGACCCTCCCCCCTCCCTCTCGCTGGCTGTAGATTGCGGACGTGTCAGTGGAGGTGGCCACAGTGGACCACACTCTGCAGAAGCTCTGCAGGAAGTTCAGAAAGACCAGACGGAAGCCCAAGGGACTCAAGAGGCTGTGGGCCCACCTGCTGAACGTCCCTCACCTGGCTCTCATCATAGCAGCGGTGGTGTTTGTGGTGGTGGTGATCATATGGTCCCTGCTCTGGGTCTTCATATGTAAGTGAAAGGATTCTTATAATCTTATAACACCCTCAGAAATCAATAGCTTTTCAATTATCATACTATGTTTTTACTTAATATGTGTCAATTCTGGGATTAGAGCAGTACTGTATGTCCCACATCGTTCTGTGTTATTTTGAATCTGCACAATATGATCCAATTTATAAATGTATTTCCTCAGTCCGCAGGGAAAGCAACAGCGGAGCGTACTTTGCCGGGATGTTCCGTCTTGCCAATGTGGAGTTCATCCCCGAGTACCGGCAGGCTGAGTCCCACGAGTTTGTGTCCATGGCAAACAAAATACAACATGTGGTATGAATCAGTGTTATCTTGTTATTTACAGGATGCTGAGTGTTCGGCTCAGGGACGTTAATTGCTGGTTTCTCATAGGTGAGCAACGTGTACAAGATGTCCTCAGTGGCCAGACTGTACAAGCAAGCTGTGATTTCAGACCTCAGGTACAATGAGTGTGTTAGTCATTACAACACACAATGCACCCTGTAAAGGTTCAGTATAAACTTGTTTCTCCCTGTCCAGTAACAGTAAAGATGGCGTGCTGGTGCATTTCTGGATGGTGTTCGTGGTCCCTCGTCTGAAGAGCCCTGCTGTGTGTGAGGAGTGTGTGGGCGTCATCTTCAGAGACTCCGTCCATACCAGCCTCAGGAACAGGACGTCTGTCGGATACTTACTGAGCCTTCCAGTCGACATAGACTCCATCCTCATCAACGGTGCGTCTGTAATTTCAGTTCACATGTTCTCAGTGTGTTCACTGATGCAGAGACTGATTGTTTTGTCCTCCTGCAGCTGTTCAGCGCTCAGACTACACATCTAATGCTGCAGGTAGAAGAAAACTTTTTATCTAGACTAATACAAGTTCTACTGTTTCTCACTTTTGTTTTACAGTGAGTTGTGTCTTTCTTTCCTCCCAGCAGGCTCACAGTGTGTCGATAAGATGCACGCCAACCATCCTGGGGCGAGGGTCCCTCTAAACGTCTTTTCATCATGGGGTGGTGTGAGTTGCCATGTGAAGCTCACCGTCGTCCCCGGTGCCCTCGTACGTCTGACCATCACCTCGTTCTTCATTGAGCCCAGCGACTGCGTGCATGATGCTCTGACCGTGTATGATGCCCTGCTGCCCATGAGGGGGCGCATTCTGCACAAGTGAGTGTGAAGTTCCCAGTGGATCACAGATTCAGAAGAGGCTGCTGGCTATAAGAAAATAATGTTTTTCCAAAAATGACTCCACTGACAAATGCAACGAGCTGTTTCCTATATTTCCCTTAATATTTCTAAGTTTCATTCATAAATTGTGTATCTGTGCTGCAGGCTGTGTGAGCCAGTGTCCGCCTCCTTCTCCCTCGTCTCTACCTCCAACGTCATGTTGCTGTCCTTCAGAATGACGAACGGCAACAAGACCTTCAGAGGACACTTTGAGGCCATCACAGAGGAAAGTATGACACATTTACCTGCTTATCTTTTAGTGGTTCCCAATCTATTTGAGCTTATGTCCACATTTCATGCCCAAAAGCAAAATGTAAATGAGATCCCTTGTCACAGATTTAATTTGTCTGAAGTATAATCCCTCTGTGTCTGTCTCAGTTTGCCTGTCTCAAATTGAGACCCAGTTCGAGCCTGACGTCACTGGTCACATCTACAGCCCCTTCTACCCCAGCATGCTGCCCCCTAAGTGTTTCTGCACCTGGAGGTTTGAGGTATATCACACATATATATAATATGACTTGTTAAACTGTGGTTTAATGGCTTTTATTGATTAATTGTGTTTATATTTTATTCTAGACCTCTAATCGTGCGTTAGGAGTCGCTCTGCAGTTTCAGAACTACGTGCTGAAACCAAAGGGCATGAAGGGCTGTGACCACGGCTGGTGGAAGGTCAATGAAATCATGTATGTGCGTACAACTATTTCATTTGTGATTTACTACATCCTACAATATCCTGTCAGGGTTTTCTAAAGGTTGCTCTCCTCCCACAGTTTCTGTGGCAGCTACGTGGGACACCGCACGGTGTTTCGAATCGCCGACCACAGCCCAGAGGTGGAGTTTCGCTGCAGCTCACGTAACTCTGCTCAGCCGTTTCAGGCGTCGTACAGCAGCTTCAACATCAGCCAACGTAAGCTCTGCAGCAACAGAGCGTGACTCACTGTGATGTGTAGGTGTAGGAAATTACCGCAGCTGTTTCATTGTACCTCACTGTGGATGTGAGTTAACGACTTTGTTTTGAGAGTGGAGTCTTAACAGTCATAATGTGCTTCGCTGTTTTCTTCCAGCCTGTCCAGAGAGCCACTTCCTGTGCTCCACTGGACTGTGTGTGGAGAAAAGTCGACGCTGTGATGGCCTGGACGACTGCCAGGACGAGAGTGACGAGGTCTTCTGCTGTACGTCAGTTATAATTATTAGTAGTTTCCCGTTTTGATTACATGTGTCTGACAATGCATCTTAATCTAGTGAGCGTCTATATTTACCTGAGCGATAAGTCACATGATGGAAGAATGATACATGTTTTGGCAGCGAGGCCTACGATGAACTGTGGCGGCAAAAGTCCTCCACATCCTCTGTTTGTGTGCAATGGAGAGACGGATTGCACTGATGGAAGCGATGAGATCAACTGCACTCAGGGTTTGGATTTTTACAGTTTAGTTAAATAAAGAACTGTATATTTTCAGTCTTTTCGTGGCACTAACTGTGACGTGTTCTCTGCTTTTGTCAGAAACTACCTGCTCTGCGATCAGGTACCAGTGCAGCAGTGGCTCCTGCATCCTGAAGAAGAACGCTAAATGTGATGGAGTTCATGACTGTCGGGACCGCAGCGATGAGGCGGACTGTGGTGAGTCTCCTGCATCATCTGGAAACATAATAATCACACAACATTTTCAACTATTTCACCTCCACCCTAAAAAGCCTGCAAATTTTACAGTAAAGACGCCCACAACTGTAGGATTTTGCAAAACCAGTTCCCTTTTCTCAATGGACCAAAAGTCAGGATCTATCCTTTTCCAAGAATTCAAACTCTTAATATTCCAAACAGCCTCATAATTTTTAACATTTTTCAATGAATCTCAGGTATGTAAATAATGCAGCTCTCTGCCCTGCATTACTTTCATACCTGAACATCCAGTTTCAGCCAGAAATATGTAGAACTAGAGTGTACCACCAACAATGTCGCCTTCAATTCAATTAAACCCAACCAAATTTCACACACTCATTGATATCCGTTCCCTAAATATGACAGATTTATTTTATCACAATCTGTGAATTATTCCTTGAGAAATTGGTGATAATGTCAAAAAACTTGAAATGTAAAAACTTTCCAGATGCACACCAAAATGTAAAAGCTTCTCTCTTGGCCCATGTCCTATCCCTCCACCAAGTTGTGTGGAAATCTGTAAAATAGGTTTTGCGTAATCCAGAAAATCTAACAAAACAACCAACAAACAAATGGACAGGAACAGAAACATATAACCTCTTTGGTTGAGGTAGTTAGGAAATAATGGTCTTTTCCTTTTTTGTCATCAGCCAATTCTCTCAGAGTTGTTCCACGTCCAAGTCCAGATCAAATAAGATTTTTCATTTTAACCTAAACCGTGATCACACACAATTGGTTTGGTCCCACCTGAGTTGTCTGCTCTTCATAGAGCATTTCTTTCATAGTGATCATGCAACCATGACACTGTCTGTTCTCTTCCAGACCCTTAATGTGGGGTCATGAGAAAGAAGTGGTTATTGTATAATCCACTGGGCAGCGAGCTCCAAAACTGCTGACCTGCAGCACCGAGGTGATCCTGCTGTAACAGTTCTCTCTGTTTGCTGTTATTTTATCACGATGAGGAGTCAAGGTGACGGGAACAGACCGGTCTTTGATCGCCCGCTGATACAGGGCAGACGTGCACATGAACACGTATGCATCGAGGGCGCTATTTTTTAATAAGGCGGCAGCAGATCCATCATTCATGGCGATGACGCAGCGTGTCGGCGTAGATGGTTAGTGTAGTTGTAAAAACACACACTCAGACTGTGGACTCACACCGACACATGAACACTGTTCACATTTAAATCCCTAAAAGCACGAAATAATACGTAATGTGTTGTCATAGGGCACAACAAAAAGAATATATTATATGTAATATAATGCATGTGTCTATTTACAACTGTACATACTGTACATTCAAACCAACAGGGGCATTTGTGTACATGCAAATTGCAAACCTTCAAACTATGTGCTTGTTTACATTAAAACCAGTATAACAACAAACTCCATCTCTGTGTGCTCCTCAGCCTGTGGCCGTCAGACCCAGGTCAATAAGGTGGTTTCATCCTCGGGCCCTGAACGCATCGTGGGTGGCGATAACTCTGTGGAAGGGGAGTGGCCGTGGCAGGTCAGCCTCCACTACTCTGGTAACCTTTACTGTGGCGCCTCTGTCCTCTCCTCCAATTGGCTCATCTCCGCTGCACACTGCTTCAGCAAAGAAAGGTCAGTGTCCGTCACTGCTGATCAGCAACATACTCTTTGGAATAAGAATCCACGAAAACACACATCGAAGGTTATGGCTACGTGTGAACATAAGTTTTACAAGAAATGATTCTTATTTACTGTTTACTTAAACTGTGTTTACCTCTGGTGTCCAGAACCCACATGTTGGGAACATGTGTAATGTAATCACTAAATATGTCATCAATCATATGTCAGAATTATAAATGTGAATAATGTAAATGACCACAACAAGTAGAGGAAGATTAAATGAATGTTTTTAATGTAACCAGACAATTAATGATATGATCAATAGTGCAGAATTATACCTTATATTAATATAGTGATGATTGAACATACTATATAAGTAGTTTTATATTAAGAGTCATTTCAGTTTGTAGCTCATATATGTTTTAATGTAATAATCCCCAGTAGTAATGATATATATGATCTGGTAATTTATCATACAAACAGTTTAAGTTGTGACCTCATTAATGAATCCGGATGAAATTCAGTTTTTAGTTTTGTCTGCTGCATTAAATGTCTTTTGAATTTTCCCTGTTAAAAAACAATGCAAATAAAAGTTACAAGCCTCCTGACTCACTGTATTGATTTTCTGATCAAACCTGTCATGTCCTGGATATATGTATTATCTATTTTCTCCATCCAGTATCATTTTGGAAAACGTCCTCCTTCGGTATCTTTGACCTCTGACCTCTGACTCTGCAGGCTGTCAGACCCACGTCACTGGAGCGCTCATCTGGGCATGCTGACGCAGGGCAGTGCCAAACACGTGGCAGAGATCCAGCGGATTGTGGTGCACGAGTATTACAACGCGTACACATTTGACTATGACATCGCCCTGCTGCAGCTGAAGAAGCCCTGGCCTTCCTCCCTCGGTGCGCTGGTCCAGCCCGTGTGTCTGCCCCCCATCTCCCACACAGTCACCAAGAGCCACCGCTGCTGGGTCACCGGGTGGGGATACCGCTCAGAGGAGGGTGAGCAGTAACATGTAACTCAGTTCATATTCACGATGCAACTGCAGACTCAAGGAGCCGCTATTAACACTGCTTTTGTTGAAGGCTGACAGAGATCTCCTTTATCAGCTCCTGTATTCTTCATGAACATGATTCATGTCCATGTGTTTCCTCTTGCAGACAAGGTGCTGCCATCAGTTCTGCAGAAAGCAGAGGTTTCCATAATGAGTCAGACCGAGTGTAAGAAGAGCTACGGCCCTGTCTCACCCCGCATGCTGTGTGCCGGGGTCCCCTCCGGAGAGAGGGACGCCTGTCGGGTGAGCTTCCATCTGACTCAGTTGATTCATACTTGTATGTGAAACACAAAAAATTGCTGTTTGCTGTTTTCTATCTTCATTACTCGTACTCGCTTTGTGTTTCAGGGTGATTCTGGGGGTCCTCTGTCCTGTCAGGCACCAGGCGGGGGTCGCTGGTTCCTCATTGGTATTGTCAGCTGGGGGGCGGGTTGTGGGCGACCCAACCTGCCTGGCGTCTACACCAGGGTCAACAAGTTCACCTCTTGGATCTACAGCCATATCAGCTGACATGAGGAAACTCTGCAGCCACCGGCAGCAGATGTTTAAATATTCTGTTGCTCATGTCAAATAATAAAAACATCTCCAGACAGTAAAATGTGTGTGTGTGTGTGTGTGTGTGTGTGTGTTTTTAATCTCTCAGGTTAACAACAATATCTGCCCTCTGGTGAAACCACAAGGTGATGTTGATGAGTGATCCTTAATCAGGGAAAAAGAAAATCTAAAAAGCCTTGAAAGGTTTTTATCCTCTCTTCTACACAAAAAACCGAGATTGTAAATTCTCTTCCAGTGTTATTATGGATATATTTGATGCTGGATTTGCAATTGCAGGTCTTGTCTTGCTTTACTACCCTGTGGAGCATCCAAGGGCATGGCAGCCAAGCTCCAATTGTAAAACCTTGCACACGTTTCCCCCTCAAACACTCTTTTGTCCCTCCGAGCTGAACTCCTGCGTACACACTGAGGAAGTTTGCCCACAATATCTGTGCCACGGATGGTTGTGGGGATTGTACCCTTTCATAGTGCTCCCTTTGTCCCCCGCACTGCATTCTGGGGCTCCGTGTGACACCTGCCGCCCAGTTCAGGTAAACTGGAGGCGGTGAATACCGTCCGCATCCGAGCCACTCAGGTCGGATTTCTGTGCTTTTTTTTTTCCTTTTTTTTTTTTACCTTTTCAAAGGAAGCAACAGCGGGGGTTTCCTCTCTCTCTCTCTCTCTCCATCATTTCTATGCCTGAGGTATTGTTGCATATCGCCTCTCCGGAGCTAAACGGGACAGTGCTATGAGGACTCTGCCCAAAAGCAAATCTTGTGAAGTGTACTACGTCTCTGGGCATGGACACTCAGGCTGCTCCGCTGCACAGGTAAGACCTCACTTTTTCCACTATATGTAAAAGGGAGTTTGTCTTCTGCAGGAACTCTTTTCTCAGATTTACCCTGACCCTCTCTCCAAAGTAGACTTTAATTCATTATCATTTTGTGTTTCACGATATCAGATACATGCTTAATAATCAAAGCCCTTCAAACATAGTCGTCGTCGCCTGCAAAGATCTGTCTCTAGGGTTTCATAGGCCTGATTCTCATGAATGTCCATGCCACTTGATTGAGTGCTGACACCGCAGGGCCAGGCCGTGGGAAAGCAGACCCCTCTAGCCACACTTTGTCTGCTCCCCCGAGGAATCCTGCCAACCCCTTAAATGTTTAAGGAGATCCTTTCAGCTCAAAGATGTTCACCGCTGCTCTCAGTAAATCAGTGTCCGCTCAGTCATAAAATCTATGGCTCATTGATTTTGGCAGATAGGCTGTGTTGTCTTTATTGCTCCTCTGCTGTGGTCAAATAGAAATAAAATCCAGACAATTACAAGCAACTTGAGCACAGGCATGAAATAAGCTGGTATGATATTTGAGTCATGTTCTCGTCTCTTTGGTAGGGAGAGGGGGAGTTGAAGGGGCCCACCCAGTCGCTGAGCCCCCCCACGAAGCCTGAGGAGGATGGAGTAGAGCAGAGGACGGAGGGGGGGCGAGCTCCGGCCTGTGGCTCCTGGAGGAGGTGGATGCTGGGTCTCCTGCCTTTCTTTCCCTTCACTGCTGCCGTTGCACTGACCCTCCACTACTTAACATGTGAGTAGTTTTCTCCTCTGTCCTCACGGTGTTTATGTTGATTTCAGTCAAATCTCTCCCTCCTCCTCCTCCTCAGCGCCGCCCTCCTCAGTGTTCTTCCTCGGTGGCAGCATGGAGTTCCCAAACCTGAGCTTCTCTTCAGAACTGACTGACTCCACCTCCCCACAGTTCCGCCTGCAGGCTCAGGCTTTGAACCATTATGTAAGTGGAGCTGAGGTCCTGTCCGTCAGTGCCCCCCCCCCCCCTGACACTGCAGAGTTCTGCTTGACCTTCCCACTCTGGGCTGAGGCTGATGTCGCTGCTCAAACATTAATATGATTGACTGCAGGAGGCTACAGGTGTCTTTATGCTGCTCTCCTCCATCTTTGCATTCTTATTCTGTTGCTTTTCCTCCTCATCTGCATTGTCCTTTATCTTTTTCCTGCACATCACTTTCCTGTCTTCTGTTCTTCCCTCTGTCGGTGTTAAATGTAAAGCTGAAACAGGAGCTGGGCACAGTGTTTGTGCGAGTTCCCGGGAGCCCCAGGGACAGGGCCCTTTCAGGGCCGAGGACAAGCCCGGCATTTGTGAGCACAGCTAGGCCCAGGCAGCAAGAGTGAGAGGAAGAGCAGGCCTTCAATAAAAACATTGTCTGTGTAGCTTACACACAGAGCCGCTCTGTGCACGACGGAGAGCAGGGGGAACCTCAGGTTGACACTGGAGGTGAGAGGGAGAGACAGGGCAGTAGGGCATGCAGGGATGACAGATGGAATGATGGCTGGTCAGAGATATGAGACGTGGAATTTGGATTTTGGAAGCAGACCCTCAGATGCACAGCAGCACATTCTTGCTCAGCAGTTGGTAAAATGATAACTTGATAAGTGGAAGTTCCCATAAATCTGCCTTGATGTCCCTGTGATCATAGATCTGTGCAGCATTAAAGAACAGGTGCCCATACCGCCCAGGTCCTTTCCTGTACACAGTCAGCAGGAAACACAAAGGAGCTCTGTGCTGCTGACTGTCAACATACACACATGCAGAGTCTGACAGACACACACACACACACACACACACACTTGCCTCTGTGGAACTCAGGCTGCATGTTCGGGCAGGTGTGTTCATTTTGTCTCTTCAGTGTTGACATCGCTTGCACTGCTGTGACGTCACCTGTAGTGTGCACGGTGTCTGGTCACTGTTTTGTTTTTTTCATCTCATTTTTCAAACAGTTCTCAGATCTCTACGAGTCGTCGCCGTGGAGCTGTTACTACCTGCGCTCAGGAATCACGGCCTTCAGGTACAGCTGCACCAAAGTCATTCAAATCAAAACCCGAAGGTGACAACATCCTGCTCAGCTCTGTAAAACTCCAGAGTTCACCCTTTGTGTGACAGTGAAGGAGCAGAGGGGCTCAATATCTTCTACTGGAGTCAGTTCTACGCCCCGGACGATGTTGCCATGGCGATCCGGATGTCCAGCCCGGAGAAGCTGCAGCGCAGGATCCCCGGCAGCAACAAGGTGCAGCGCTACTACATGGAGCAGGATGAGGACATGCTCCACCTACTGGGTACAACCTCTCACTGTTCCCTGCGTGCACATCAAACCACACACATGTGAAGACATGTCATTGTTTTCTGTCCAACAAAATTACAAACAACAACTTGGTTTGGAAACGATAGTAATTAACAGGAAACTCTTTATAAATGCTTTATAATCATTTCACCCATGTTTTGTTAGTGTCTTTAAAGTACTTGTTTTTACTGTCACTGTTACTGACAGGATTTTAACATCAACTCCCAAGGCACTATTAGAGGTCTGGAATCAAATATAAATGGAAAAAAACTGGGAATAAATGTTTAAGTTAGCATTTAATTTGTATATGTGTTTGTGTGTGTGTGTGTGTGTGTGTGTGTGTGCAGGTTTGGACCCTGATGACTTTGAATCGGATGAAAAATCAGGCAAGATAAAGAATCCCAGCAGCCTGCAGAGTGGAAAGTGGCAGCTCGGCTTCCAAGGTGAGAGGAGCACGTCTCAGTCTTGATACAACACATCCTGTCTTTCTTAAATAGCCGTGAATATATGAATTGAAGCATTGAACCATTCCTACATGGTTGTTTACTGTCTTGCTGCTGTTCGAGTTCACCCTGTAGTTAATTAAGACTTATTTACTTTTATGTGCACGAAAATACACTGTAAGGTTGTCTGGTCTAAATATAATAAGCCCATAACAAAGTCTGCTTAAATTAATGGACCACAGATTAAACGTGAAGCAACAACGTCCTTGTTCGAGGTAATAAAAGAGAAATATCTGGAGTTAATCCACCTCCACTTAGGCTCTATTTATGTTCTGGAGCATCACAGCTGTTCTGGAGTGTTCATGCTGCTTTTTCCTTTATTTTGTCTGTTTGTTCACACTAATGTGATCCACACAGACTTTATAATATTATAATATCCACATCACTGCTCCACAGCAATGTCCTTTGACCTCTACGCCAAATACGGCAACAACCGCACGCTGAGCCTCGTGAGTCCCAAGAAACCGTACTACCAGTGGCGACTACGCGTGCCATCAGGTCACGTGGTTCGGCTGGTTATCCTCACCCTGCATGGTGCCACGCCAGGAAGCTGCACTGCCCACAAGCTCTCGGCCTACGACTTCCTGCTTCCTTTACAGAACAAGATCATTGCCAGGTTAAGAGAGTTTATGTTTTCTTTTTTTGGTTTCTCCTTTAACATATTGCACTTATCTGAACAGATGTAAATGACCTTCCATTAGAGGTCAGAGGTTAACGCTGTTTCTCCAAGTAACAGCGATTACAGATTTATATGTGGCTGTATGTGATGCATGTACCCGTCTCAGGTGGTGTGGACTGCCTGTTTTGGGTTCGTCTCCGGTCATGAAGCTGACGTCCTCTGGGAACGTCATGTTAGTCACCTTCTCCTTCAGCAGACAGAGAGATGGAGCCATATTCAAGGCATATTTCCAGGCCATCCCGAAAGCAGGTCAGACTCCGTCACACATCTTATTTCTACCGTGTTGCTGCCTTCATGCTGAGAATTATTTTGTTGCAGTGATTAGCATATGTGGACTCAAGTAACCTTGGTTTTATTGTGTCTTTATCTACGTCGCCATCTCCCTCTGCAGGTTGTGGAGGATCTCTCTCCTCTTGGAACGGTTCTATTTCCTCGCCCTACTACCCTTCCTATTACCCTCCCAATATAGACTGCGTCTGGACACTGCGGGTGAGTTACATGCGCGTGTCTATACATACATGTATGTGAGTGTGTCAGAAACTAAAGAATGAAATAGTGAATCATCCCTCTGTTATTCAGCTGTCCACATTCTGGCAGTCTTTATGCATCGTTTGGTTTTCTTTATTAGGCGCCGTTGCCAGGATACCTGATCTCAATGACGATCGTGACTATGGACATTCAGGATTCCTCGTCATCGGACGGCTGTGAGAAAGACTGGCTGGACATCGGAGGGGTCAAGTGAGTCATGGAACTGAACTATGTTGCAACAAAGGTGCACACATACAGGGGTTAGGATAACTCATTCAACTCAGTCAAATTTTGAAAAAGATTATTTGCTCCAAGTGCAGATGTGTTTTTTTCTCATAATTGTCGGAGACATTCCAGATGTTGTGGCTGCACATTTGACATAAAATGAAAACTTTTTTGCTGCTCTCTCTCCAGACTGTGTAACCCAGTGTCAGACAGCAGCAAGAAGCGAGTGTACTCCTCTCCACTCTCCCTTCACTTCCGCTCCGATGAATCACTCACTCATAAGGGCTTCTACTTGCTCTACAGAGCTTTCTCTCCAGAGAGCAGTGAGTAAAATCTACAATTGTGATTTTTCACAGGTAAACATGGTTGTTGAAAAAACCAATTGACCAATCAAACAATTAAAAAAGTTTTTCTGCCGTTTTTGTCCAGCTTGTCCTCGTCAGTTTCGCTGTGGAGATGGCCGCTGCATCCCGCTGAGGAAAGTGTGTGATGGAGTGAAAGACTGCTCAGATGGACGGGACGAGGCTAAATGCTGTAAGAGCTGGACACTTGTCCCACCCTGTCTTGTCGTCTTTGCTAAAATCTCAACCTTTTAATTCTAAAAGTCAAAGTATTTGAGGACACAAACCCTGTGGTTGACTCTGATCTGATCTGTATGAACCATGTAGCGTCCTGCAGGCCCGGGGAGGTGATGTGTGGTAACGGCCAGTGTAAACCTCAGAGCAGCCAGTGTGTTAGTCAGAGCACGTGTGCGGACAGCAGCGAGGAGGGCACCTGTGGTGAGCACAGAAACCATGTACATCATGAGCTGTGTACGCAGACATGTGCATTTTCACATCTAAAGTTAATGCGGTTCATTGTTTCCTCCTCTCAGGGAGTAAATGTTTTCACGCGTGTCCCAACAAGCTGTGTTTGCCAAAGTCCTCAGTGTGTGACGGTGTCGCCGACTGCAAAGACCGCAGCGATGAACTCAACTGTACCAGAGCATGTGAGTCATGACATCAGCAATTCACTAAATGACTGATGATTCACTTTTTTAACAATATGCTGTATCTCAAAGTATTTTTAATCCATATTTCCGCCAAGGAAGTGATTTTTTCACCACTGTTTGTCGGATTGTAAGTAAGATTATGAAAAACGGTATGAGTCAGGAAAGAACTTTCACTTTCTTTAGTATTGTGAGTGCTTTTTTATATTATCTTGAGGGTTTTTGATGAAAACATTCAAAATAATTAGGGGGCTGATATTTGAGTGTGTGTGATTCGGTGCATCTTGATTGAATGTAGAGGGACTGTTGGGCCTTGGTGGAAGTATTGAGTTTCATAGTTATTCATATTTTTTTAATGTCTTTATTCTTCTTGGATAATTATGTGTTTATCATTCTAGATTTTAAAGGCTGCTCCTCATCCTCTTACAAATGTGCCAATGGAAAGTGTGTTGGTAAGATCAACCCTGAGTGTGATGGGGTCAAAGATTGTTTTGATGGCTCTGATGAAATGCGCTGTAGTAAGTACTCGCCCACCAAATTCAGGCTCGGTACTTCTGAACAAAGATGAAATTCCTCTGACCTCCCTCGCTTTTTTCTCCCTTTCTTTCTGTCTCTCCCGGCTCAGGTTGTGGCACCAGGCCCAGGAAGCGCACAAAGATAGTTGGCGGCTCTGATGCTGGAGCGGGTTCCTGGCCGTGGCAGGTCAGCCTCCAGATGGATCGCTACGGCCACGTCTGTGGAGCCACACTGGTCTCCAGCCGCTGGCTCATCTCTGCAGCCCACTGCTTCCAGGACTCAGATGCCATTAAGTAAGAAAGATACCTCATCATGATTGTCATAAAACATCTGTGCGTACTCTTTATGCATAGTGTGTTCGCAGATACTCAGATGCCCGAGCATGGCGGGCCTACATGGGAATGCGTGTGATGTCTGTGGGGAACAACGGAGCAGCCACCAGACAGATCCGGCGAATCCTCCTCCACCCTAAGTACGACCAGTTCACCTCCGACTACGACATCGCCCTTCTGGAGCTCAGCGCTCCCGTCTTCTTCAATGACCTGGTGCAGCCTGTGTGCGTCCCTGCCTCCTCACACACCTTCACCACAGGGACCAGCTGCTACGTAACAGGCTGGGGGGTCCTCATGGAGGACGGTACGAGCTGGTCAAAAGTATCTGATGAAGCTGAGGAGCTATATCACAAATAATCGCCTCCATTGTAAAGCAGGGCCGTGCTAAAATTTTGAAAGTAATTTTGAAGCAGCTGCAGTATCAAGTCCAATTATTTATAATTCCCCAAAATGTGTTGTGTGTTTGTGTTTTCTGAAGGTGAGCTGGCCTCTCGCTTACAAGAGGCCTCAGTGAAGATCATCAACAGGAACACCTGTAACAAGCTGTATGACGACGCTGTAACTCCCAGAATGCTGTGTGCTGGGAACTTGCAGGGAGGTGTGGATGCCTGCCAAGTGAGTGTTTGAAGTAGAGTTGAAGAGTTTGAGGTTTTTACAGAAAACATTGCGAAACTGAAAATGCAGGAGAGATAAAAAATTAACTGGTCATAATTAGATAATAGGAAAACTTTGATGTTTCATAAAAGAGTGAGACCAAGACTAACCTCTGCCAAAGCCAACGCCCTATCCCGCCACGGAAAAAACACATCCCTGGATCCACGTGAATTCTCTCCTAAACCTAATGGCCTCTTTTTGTCATGTCCCACCCCATCCGCATCAGTTAATTTTTAAGCAATCCTGCAGACAGACACCAACAGCAATAAAAAGATCTCGTCTGATGTAGTGAATTTGGGCAGTGCAGGGAAACTGGATTCACACAATTACATATAAGCTTGAATTAAATGTGTGCACAATGCAGTCCCATCAAAACCCTTCAATGGAACCTGGTTCTGCAGCTGTCGGCAATGAAGCAAAGTGATGATGATTGGTGTCTGAAATCTCCAACAGCTCACTAAAACTGAATGTGGTAAGGGGGTGATTTGGACATATGTTGACTATCAGGCACTTTAGTAACACTGGAGTCACTTATATCCTTTGTGTCTTTTGATGAAACCTTATATCAGCTTATCTGTAATTGATTAGATGTGACTCTGAATGATCCACAGCTGCAGACCCATTCAGGCACAGTTCAAAAGAAAGACAGAAGGTAAACTGTATTTGAACGCCTCTTCTTTTAGTCACTGTTTGTGTGTCTGTGGCTTCAGGGTGACTCAGGAGGTCCGTTGGTGTGTCTGGAGCGCGGCAGACGGTGGTTCCTGGCGGGGATCGTGAGCTGGGGCGAAGGCTGCGCGAGGCAAAACCGTCCTGGCGTCTACACACAGGTGGTGAAGTTCACCGACTGGATCTATCAGCAGACCAGAGGACAGGTGTGACTGACACGGGCAAGAACGACAGACTTAACACATGGGACAGAGGTTTTCACACGTGGAGTCTGTCTGCAGACTGATGGCGACACATTCAGACAGTTTTGGGGAACATGTTCACTGGAAACACCAGTGGGAGCATCGTCTCTACCAACCAGCTCCTGTAAAATCCCTGCTAGCCCAGACCTGGTCTGAAAACATCAACAGAATGTGGACGAGTACAAAAACATCACCACTAAATTAACTTGGTTCTGGTCATTGTACATAATTATTAGACTTTGGTTGGAATGCCTCACATAGACTACAAACTCGATAATACAACATTTTACACTATACTGTTAAGTAACACTTCAAAGTCTTTCTGCACATGTAGCTTAAACTTTGGGTCACAATTTTTGTTATCAGCAAAAATATTGTAAAATGTCATCTGCCAATATTAGGATCCAAAATGGTGAAAAATTGGAATTCATCAAAACAAAAAACACTGTATAGTCTATAGTTTTCACCCAGGGTCCCAGGCATTTGTTGGGTATCAGCAAAAATATTTTAAAGTGCCTTTTACTAATTAAAAAAATGGATACTATTAAAAGAGTTTCGGGGGAAAACCAAGTTATCTCAGACATGAAATGACTCCTATGCTTCATTAAAGGTTTTTTCCACTTTCTACAGATCTTTGCTGTATAAGGCCTCTGTTGAGCTGCACTTCCTGTAACTACCATCTTAGAACAGGAACATGAATCCATATTGAAGTCGTTTAAGTTGCTCTGCCTATAAAAAAAACTTAAAGAAGTATTACTTTCAATCTATTAAATGCAGGTTGTGATCTACAATTTTGACAGCTTAATGGTACATTTCAAGTCTCCACAATTGGCACCATGTTTCTGTGCTAATTACAACAGGGTCAATGACAATGTCATTTGTCGACAACAAAAACCACTTTGGTCTTTTTTGTCGAATGTGGAACAAGTTCTCCTCCCATGAGTATGTAACCGTGTATTTTCGCCCTCATCCGTACGTCCATGTACTGTATATGTGTGTTCACGACTCTGCACGTGTTGTTTCTGTACTGTGTGTGTGTATGGATGTGCATTTGTATATCGTGCGTTTATCTGAGTCATAGCCTTATGTTGAATATATTCTGTAGCGAATAATCCCACAGTAGGAGGTGGTAATATATTTTGCATTTCAGATTCACTGTGACGTGTTAATTTATCTCTATGGTGCCTCGTCTCCTCTCTACCGTGTGCTCAGTGACAAGCAGGATAACAGCTGCTCTAAAAACCACCATGCAGTAGATGCTGGTGGAATAAATAAGATAATCAGGTGAAAAACTGTTTCAAACATTTTATCCATTCTGCTCTCCCCTCTTATTCAGCTCTTATCACCACCCAGTGGCCAGTCTGTGCCACAGTCTCTCTCACTGTATCCCCAGAGGGAGCGATGGCACCTTTCTCCCACACCGCTGCTCAAAGATACCACTTAACATGCCTTTATATTAAAGACACAGTTTCCTTCGCAGCAGATCAGAAGTGTGTTTCTCATCCAGACCTTTGCTCTCGCTGTATTTTTATTTTAACATTTCGAAACTTTGGTTGGGGGGGGTATCTGCTTCAACTGTAATTGGTGCTTTTAACTGATAAGAGAAGGAGGCAACAGTAACTTGTATCAATATTTGGAAATAAACTACCTGCGCTCTGGTGGTGGAGTTGTGGAATGTGTTCCCTGCTCTTATTGAGATTTATTTTGGAAGGAAGTTTTTCAAATGGGACTCGTGCCAGAGATGAGAAACGTGAATGGCAGGTTGCAGATCAGGACCCCACCCCTTCACATCGGTGCCTACGTGCTGATCATCCCGTCTACCGAACCAAGGAATGAGATTTAAGCACAGACTTGCTGTGTGCGCATCCTCTGTGACATTTGGTGCATATCTCATTAACTATTTTCAGAGAGCTTCCTGCATAGAAAACCTTCCTCACAAATTGTCTAAAGAGCTTATTTGGGTCCTACGGTAACACCTCACTGGTCTGTTGGTTGTTCACTGGGGGGGAGCTAAATGGGGACCGCTGTTACGCGCCATGGGTGTGTCAGTGGACGTCGCGGAAGTCCGCTATCCGGTGGCCGCACTGTGGGAACTGTATAAATCTGCGCCGCTATCCCACTAACCGATGGGAAAAAGTTGCATTGGATACAGGCGCGGTGTCCTTTTGCGTGAGCTCACGCAGCTGTCCTCAGGAAACCAACCACCACCTCCACTCAGCGACCATCAGTGCCGAGCGCAGCAGCCGAGCGCGCTGTGCCCTCTGTAGTCTGCTCTTTGGGGAGGAAAAAAAAACAGCAGGAATAAGAACTTGTCATATTTTATATTTGAAAACTGCGTCGGAGTGAGTAGACATGATGAACATCATTCTCTTCTGTCTGCTTTGTGGATTGTATGGCGTTTTGGCAAAAGGTGAGTAACAGGTTTGATCTGTTTCTGCTCTTGGCGCACAGGACACCTGCTGCTGAGATTAGAGCTCATGTTCACACAGATTTAAAAAGGTCTGTTGGGATTTAAAGTTCTCAGTGAGTTTAAACCTAAGAGGAAACTATAGGCTTTTTGCAACTTAGAGAAAAAAAGGCACTTACGCACAACTTCGATAATATTGGCAATAAACAAAAGGGCGCTTTGGGTGTTTTTACGCACGTTTTTTAATAGACTAATATCCATCATCGCGACACTTTCGTCTTTGGGACAAAACAAGAGACGCAGAAATCCCGTATCTTGTTATAGCCATCTGTTGTTTTCGCTCATAAACCGGTCAGATAAGTCGTCGGTGCCCTCCTGTGTCTGACGCTCTTCATGTAAACCTTTTGGCACCGAGTGCAGAGAGGGAGATAAGCGGTATCCTGCAGGACACTTGTTTGGATAACGCGGACCTCTTTGACCGGGGTCCTTGTGCGCTTGGCCACGGTTGAATGGACGCACGCAGGGCGTTGTTTCCTGAGACTGATGAGTTTGTCAAATGGAAGTTCTGATAGAAGTGATCGAGGGGTCACGACCAACTGAGGGAAAATATCCAGTGAGCAGGAACCAGGGTTAATATGTGTTTATAAAGCGGTCGGCAGGTTGTCTTTGTGCGCACAGATCCGTGTTGTGTTATTGGTCATTTGTTGCCAGGAGCTTTTGTTGCAGCAAAAGTATTAATTTACTTCATATGTGTAACCCAAAACAATTTTTTGCTTTCAATATCTGTAACTAAAGATGATCAAATCTAAAAGAGTGGTGTCAGTTAACAATGGCAGCTTAACCTTTTTCATACTATTTAAGTATATTTTGCAATTTTCCAACAAAACATGAAAGCAACTGTCTCCTGTAGTTGTGGAAAAAAAGCTGTTTTATTCAATATATCTGTTTACTAATGATCTTGTCCAAGTAATACCTCGATTTTTAGGATGCACTAATTTCAAACTTGAAAAAGAAGAATAGTCAATGTATAGTATGATAAGACTGATAATTATTATAGTTCTAATGCAACGTTTTCGCATGTAAATTCACATTAATATTCACTCACATACATCTTAATGTCTTTGTCAAAGATCTTCACATTTCTGAACTGAAGGACTGAACTCTCACTACTGTCTAGGGGACATAGCGGAAATGTACTTGATTATTTTGAAATTGGCTTTTTATCTACTTCACAGCTTGTTGAAAAAGGCCTGGAGGAGATCCCTCACTTCCCTTACCACCCTGGTGTGTGTGTGTGTGTGTGTGTGTGTGTGT